TCTTCGACCTGTTTGTTTCCTCTCCACCTATCCTCTCCTCTATCCCTCTTCTATCCGCCTCCCACTCTCTCCCTATTTATTTCAAAACCCCCTTCCCCTCCCCCTTTTCTGATGAAGGGTCGAGGCCCGAAACGTCAGCCTCTCTGCTCCTATGATGCTGCTTGGCCTGCTGTGTTCATCCAGCCCTGCACCTTGTTGTCTCGGATTCTCCAGCATCTGCAGTTCCTACTATCTCTTAAGCACCACACCCTGTCCCCTAGTAATTGACCTCTCCACCCTGGGAAAAAGCGTCATAAGTTCCACTCTATCCATGCCATTCACAGTCTTATAAACCTCTATCAGGTCACCCCTCAACCTCCTGCGTTCCAGTGAAAACAAACCTAGTCTATCCAACCATTCTTCATAGCTAAAATCCCCCATACCAGGCAACATCCTGGTAAACCTTTTCTGTATCCTCTCCAAAGCATCCACATCCTTCTGGTAATGTGGTGATCAGAACTGTACGCAATATTCCAAGTGTGGCCTAACTAAAGTTCTATAAAGCTGCAGCAAAACTTGTCTATCCTTATGCTCAATGCCCCATCTAATGAAGGCAAGCTTGCCATAGGCACACCTGCGCTGCCAGCTTCAGTGATGTAGACCTGCACACCCAAATCCCTCTACATATCAATACTCAGAGTTCTGACGTAGCTAAGAGCTGTTTCAGAACTGGGGCAAGGGTGAAATCTGGTTAGAGGAACTCAGACAGGAAGATCGAGCAAAAATGGGAATTGATTTAACAAGCAACAAGACAATCGGAGGTTTGGGCAGGAATGGTGGTTTGGAGATGGGCATTATAGTTTGCAAAGACTCGCAAGGCCAAAACTACTACAATTTGAGAAGCGTCATTCCTGTGTGACAATGAAGGACCCTGATTCAGGATGGTACTGAGCCCAACAGAGCAGAATATGTTAATTTGCTGACCTCAATCAATACCACCACCATTACCATGCTGTCAGACTATTCCAGCAAGTGGCCAGGCGAGAGGAACTTGGCAAGGAGTTTTGAGAATCCAGTGTGGCAGAGTTGAGAGTCAGAAATCACACGACACCAGGTTATAGTCAAACAGGTTTTTTTGAAAACTCAAGCTTTCGGAACACAGCCCCTTTGTCAGGTGAAGTGAGAAAGAAGCACACGGAACGCAGAATTTATTATAAAAGATCAAAGGGTCTCACAACCGATGGAATGTATTAAACAAACCTGACGTACTGTTAAATCTTTAATCAGCTGGAAGGTTTTAATTGCTTTTATATGTATATATAAATCCCCAAATTTCTTTGAAGTCACTGCCCTGAGAGAACTAAAGGTTTCATCAGTGTAAAGAAATGAAAAGGACTTTTGGCCTTGGATCTTCGGATAAACGTCCTCCGATGCAGACTTCAGGATACGCAACACAGCTCACCGAGCAGAGGCTGATAGCCAAGTTCGGTCCCCGTGAGGATGTTCTGAACTGGGATCTTGGGTTCATGTCGCACTAGAGGTGACCCCACCACACTGTACACTTTCTCTCACACACACGCTCTCTCACACAAGCACACTCTGTCTCACCCACCCACACAGATCCTCTCTTATACACACACTCTCTCAGGCACGCGTACACTCACGCACACTTGCTCTCCCTCACACATGCACTGTCTCCCATGCGTGCACGCACACTCACTCTCCCCCACATAAAGCAGAACAGGAGCACTTGTATAGAGTTTTTAAAAGGAATGGATACCAAAAAAGCACAATCTGCTGTTACCTCAATGACAGACACAACAAGAAGACACAGCATGGCCAGACGCACTAGTCACCTACTGTACATCGGAGACATATCAGAGATGACCACAAGACTACTCAGACCCCTAGGTATCAGGGTAGCCCTCAAACTTGCGAGCACCCTGCGACAGCTACTGACGAATGAAAGGACACCATACTGACAACCAATGAAACTAACATAACGTACAAAATACCGTGCAGGGACTGTGAGAAACATGACATAGGCCAAACTGGAAAAAAATTGACAATAAGGATACATGAACACCAACTAGTTACCAAGAGACATGACCAATTCTCACTGATCTCAATACACACGGACAAAGAAGGACACGAATTTGACTGCGACAACACATCCATAATAGCCCCAGCCAAACAGAGCCCTGGCATTCCAACAGGAATTCTGTCAACAAACACATTGAACTGGACTCTGATCTTTAAACCACTGAAGAACGAAACCAGAAGTAATACCAACCACCCCAGCAAACAGGCATATAAATAACAAGTGGGAAGAAACACCAATGTTTCACCGGAGGTGCACTGATGATGTTACCTAGCAGGGTGCTGAAACGTTTGCAACCAAACCCACTGGCTCAGCGAGCATGTCTGCAACCTCATCCACAACCCGAGCTACAAATCTTCTTGAAAACTTGAGATCACTCTCCCCCTTGTGCACACACTCTGCCCCCACCCCCACAGGGGCATGCACACTCTTTTGCACTGCCACTCACAAATTCACCCCATGGATTTGTATTTGTAGATGCATTCTATCTTGTTCAAAAAGCACATAATTTATAGATAGTCAGTCAATATGGTATTTTTTAAATTCCTACTTTAGAAATAAAACCAGTTTGACTCCAAACCAAGCCACATAAGATTCTAAACAAGGCCTCACACCTAACATGCATTATCTGATCTAAAATGTCACCTCTTCTTTACATTAATAAAACCTTCAGCTCTCAGGAAGAAATTCGGGGATTTACATATACGTATTAATCAATTCTAACTAATTAACGATTTAACAGCATCTTGGGTTTGTTTAATTCATTCCCATCAGTCGTGTGATCCTTTGATCGTTTACTTATAAATTCTGTGTTCTGTGTGCTTCTTTCTCACTTGACCTGATGAAGGGGCTACGTTCCAAAGCTTGTGTTTTCAAATAAACCTGTTGGGCTATAACCTGGTGTCGTGTGATTTCTGACCTTGCCCACCCCAATCTAACACCAGCATCTCCAATTCATAGCGTTGAAGGGGACATGGGGTGAATGGGACCAAGGGTGGGAGGTAGGGGTCAAAATAATTTTTCTTTCTTTGAAGGCCCCTCTTAATATTTTCTTGCGAGATGTTTCTTATTCGCTATTCCTTCTGTATTTTTTACAGAGTCATAGAGCTGTCCATCATGGAAACAGACCCTTCAGTCATACTCGTCCATGCTGACCAGATATCCTAAATTAATCTAGTACCATTTGCCAGCATTTGACCCATATTCCTCTAAACCCTTTCTATTCATATACCCATGCAGACGTCTTTTAAATGTTGTAATTGTACCAGCCTTCACCACTTTCCTCTGGCATACTCGCACCACTTTCTGCGTGAGAAAGTTGCTGCTTGGATCCCTTTTAAATATTTCCCCTCACACCTTAAACCTATGCCCTCTGGTTTTGGCTTACACATGCCTGGGAAAAAGACCATGACTGTTCACTCTATCCATGCCCCTCATGATTTTATAAACCTCTAAGGCCACTTCTTAGCTTCTGCGCCAGGGAAAATAGCCCCAGCCTATTCAGCCCCTCCCTTTAGTTCAAACTCTCCAACCTTGGCAACATACTTGAAAATCTTTTCTGAACCCTTTCAAGTTTAACAACAATCTCCCTATAGCAGGGAGACTGGAATTGCACGCAATATTCTGAAAGTGACCGAACCAATCCTATACTCAATGCACTGACCAATAAAGGCAAGCATACCAAATGCCTTCTTCACTATCCTATCTACCTGTGACTCCACTTTCAAGGAACTATGAACCTGCAGTCCAAGGCCTCTTTGTTCAGTAACACTCCCCAGGACCTTACCATTAAGTGTATAAGTTCTGCCCTGATTTGCCTTTCCAAAATGCAGCACCTCACATTTATCTAAATTAAAGTACATCTGCCATTCCTCAGCCCATGGGCCCATCTGATCAAGATCCTGTTGTATTCTGAGGTAACTGTTTTTACTGTCTACTACACCACCTACTTTGGTGTAACCTGCCAACTTACTAATCATTACTCCGATATTCTCATCCAGATCATTTATATAAATGACACAAAGCAGTGGACCCAGCACCAATCCTTGCGGCACATCGCTGGTTTATTTTGTGATGGCATATGGGGTTGAGGGGAGAGGTGGTGGAGTGTGAGGATTACTGTTCTAGCAATGGGTTGATGTAAATACGCTGAGACTGATCCAGGACATTTGAACATAGTAATATTTAAGCTGGTTAAGGGATTATGAAGCAAGCAGTATGCACACATTCCCACAAGATTTTCTCTGTGGAGAAAGAATTCCTGAATCTTTCTTTTCTATAAGGCAGCAAAATCTTTGTGAGGATTATTCTTGGTATTAACTTTGGAATAATGAGAGTAGTGTTCCAGTGAAGGAGCGAGTCTTCTGTTAGCTCTGATCTCTGACTTGCTGAGGAAGTGATTTCTGGGAGCGGGAGCTGTAGCTGTGGCTGTGCTGTCAGATTTACCCAGATGAGTTTGGTCATAATCTGCTGTGGATTTATACAGCTGGCTCGGAGACACTGTCACTGCTCTGTTTGGCAGCGGCTGTGCTTTTGAAGATGACGGCAACACAGACTGCCTACTTGCTGTTCTTGGGGCTTTGCCTCACACTCCTATTGTTTGCCTTGGCATACTACACCTACTGGTAAGCACCAGCACAGTACTGGCGGGGACAGATCTGTCACTGTATAACACTAGGGTACAGTACTGGGTGGGGACAGGTCTGTCGCTCTATAACACTGGGGTACAGTACCGGTGGGGACAGGTCTGTTGCTGTATAACACTGGGGTACAGTACTGGTGGGGACAAGTCCGTCGCTGTATAACACTGGGGTACAATACTGGTGGGGACAGGTCTGTCTCTGTATTACAGTGGGGTACAGTACTGGTGAGGACAGGTCTGTCACTGTATAACACTGGGGTACAGTACTGGTGGGGACAGGTCTGTCACTGTATAACACTGGGGTACAGTACTGGCAGGGACAGGTCTGTCACTATAACACTGGGGTACAGTACTGGTGGGGACAGATCCATCGCAGTATAACACTGGGGTACAGTACTGGTGGGGACAGGTTTGTCTCTGTATAACACTTGGCTGCAGGACCGGTGGGAGCAGTTCTGTCACTGTATAACACTGGGGTACAGTACCAGTGAGGACAGGTCTGTCACTGTATAACACTGGGGTACAGTGCCAGTGGGAGCAGGTCTGATTGAACGCATTCTGGTTTATTGTGACAACGTCTGTAACAAGTGTTGGTTGCTTGAGGTACTCTGGATTAGAGTTAATGAGCTGGAGTCTGAGCTTCAAGCACGGATAGGGAGGGTTACCTGGACATTGTTTCAGGAGGCAGTCACACCCCTTATATTAACTCCCTCAAATTCAGATAGTAGTCAGGGTCAGGAGGGAGAGACTATCTGTGAGGCAGGTAGAGGGAACTAGGAAGTAATACTAAAGGAGCTTCACCCCTTGACCGTGTCTAACAGGTTTGAGATTCTTGCTCCCTGTGTGGGTGAGAGTGGGGACTGTAGGGAGGATGAGCAAACTGACTATAGCACCATTGTACAGGGAAGGGGGAGAAAAGGGAAATGTGGTTATAATGAGGGGATTAGACCCTGTTCTCTGGCTAGGATTGAGCGTCCCAAAGCCTGTGTTACCTGCCTGGTGCCCATGATCAGGATATCTCACCTGAGCTGCAGAGGAACCTGGAGTGGGAGGAGAAAGATCCAGTTGTTGTGGTCCATGTACAAGTAGAAAGAGGAAGCAGGTTCTGATGAGAGAATATGAGCAGCTAGAGGCTAAATTAAAAAGCAGAATCACAAAAGCTCATTGTCTTCAGATTACTACCTGAGTCATGGGCAAATGAACACTGGATGAACAAGATTAAAGAGGTAAAATGTGTGGCTGAAAGATTGATGTAGGAGAAACAGGTTTGAATTCATGGGACATTGGGACCAGTATGGGGGATGGAGGGAGCTGTTCCGATGGGACAGGCTCCACCTGAATCATGCTGGGACCAGAGTCGTGGTGAATAGCTTAACTAGGGCTGTAGATTGGGCTTGAAACTAAATGGTAGAGGCTGGGGGTTCAGTTAGATAGAAAATTATGGGAAAAGTTAAAGGGGTGAGGTTTCAGCAGAGTTTAAAGTTTCCAGAACGAGTAATAGGACAGAGAGTTTGGAAATAAATATGTAGAAAAATAAATAGGAGCCTGATGTAGGTATCCTTGTTGTTTTCTGAGGTTCCAGTGATGAGTAAAGGGCCAGGGAGATGGCGTCTGCTGTGGCCCTGTTAATTCATAATTATGGATCTCAGAGCCACTGGCGCTAGTTGTTGAGGCATGCTGCATGATTTTTCTTTGGTTCTGGGATAATGGTGGCCTTCTTGAAACGGATGAGAACTCCAGATTGTTAGTAAGGAGAGGTTGAAGATGTCTGTGAATATTCCCACCAGCCAGCCCACACAGGGTCTGAGTGTACGACTAGGGACTCCACGCGGGCAGGTTGCTTTCTGTGGATTTACCCTTAAGAAGGCTGATCTAATGTCTGATCTGGACAAAGGAACTGAGGCCATTGTTGCTACGTTTGCAGATGACATAAAGATAGGTGAAGGGACAGATAGTGTTGAGGAAGTGGGGAGGCTGCAGAAGGACTGGGGCAGGCTAGGAAAGTGGCCAAGGCAGTGGAAAATGGAATACAGTGTGGGAAAGTGAGAGGTTATGTACTCTGGGAGGAAGAATAGAGGCATCGACTATTTTGTAAATGCGGAAAGGCTTCATCAGTCTGAAACTCAAGGGGACTTGGGAGTCCTAGTTCAGGATTCTCTAAAGGTTAACATGCATGTTCTGTTAGGAAGGCGAATGCAATGTTAGCATTCTTTTCAACAGGGCTAGAATACGAGAGCAGAGATGTACTGCTGAGGCTGTATAATAAATTCATTGGTTCATGCAGTGTGTAGAAAAGGCCCTTCACCCCATTGTGTCTGTACCAACGTAACTACCATTAAAAGTGTGCTAATACCAATTTCCTGCACTTGTCCCATATCCTTGAATGTTATGATATTTGAAATATTCAAATATTTTTTGAACATTGTAAGATTTCCGGCCTCCACTACCTTCCCAGGCAGTGCATTCCAGATTCCCACCACCCACTGAGTGAAAAAGGTTTTTACCAAATCCCCTCTGAATCTGCAGCCCCTTACTCAAAAACTATGCCCTCTTGAGATTGACCACTCAACCAAGGGGAAAAGCTTCTCTGTATTCACCCTGTTCATATCCCTCACAAAAGACATCCTATTTCATTCTATTCATAATCTTATACACCTCAATCAGGGTCGATTAAGACCACATTTGGAATATTTTGAGCAGTTTTGGGCCCTGAATCTACGGAGGAAGGTGCTGGCATCAGAGGGGCTCCAGAGGAGGTTTGCAAGAATGATAAAAACCAAAAGAACTGCGGATGCTGTAAATCCGAAACAAAAACAGAAGTTTCTGGAAAAGCTCAGCAGGTCTTGCAGCATCTGTGAAAAAAAAATCAGAATTAATGTTTCGGGTCCAGTGATCCTTCCGCAGAACTCTGTTCCTCAGTTCTGAGGAAGGGTCACCCGACTCGAAATGTGAACTCTGATATCTCTTCACAGATGCTGTCAGACCTGCTGAACTTCTCCAGCAATTTTTTGCTTGTTTACAAGAATGATTCTGGGGAAGAAGGGCCTGTCATATGAGCAGAGAACTCTGGGTCTGTACTCGATGGAGTTGAGAAGGATGGGGAGGATCTGATTGAAACTTACAGAATACTGAGAGGCCTGGATAGGTTGGAAATGGTGAAGATGTTTCCACTAGTAGGAGAGACTAGGACCAGAGGGCACAACCTCAGAGTGAAAGGCTAACTATTTAGAACTTAGATGAGGAGGAATTTCTTCAGCCAGAGGTTTGTGAATCTGTGCAACTAGTTGCCTCAGACGACTGTGGAGGCAAACACATTGAGTATATTTCAGAACAAAATAAATATGTTCTTATTTGCTAAAGAGATCAAGGGTGATGGGGAGAAGGCAGGAGAATGGGGTTAAGAAACATATCAGCCATGATCAAATGGTGGAGCAGACTCGATGGGCCAAATGTCTGGGTTCTGCTCCAAAATCTTATGGTCTTATGGGACGGGTCTGTCACTGTATAACACTGGGGTACAGTACTGGTGGGGGCAGGTCTGTCACTGTATAACACTGGAGTACAGTACTGGTGGGGACAGGTCTGTCACTGTATAACATTGGGGTACAGTACCAGTGGGGACAGGTCTGTCTCTGTATAACACTGGGGTACAGTACTGGTGGTGACAGGTCTGTCTCTGTATAACACTGGGGTACAGTACCGGTGGGGACAGGTCTGTCGCTATATAACACTGGGATACTGTACTGGTGGGGACAAGTCTGTTGCTGCATAACACTGGGGTACAGTACTGGTAGGGACAGGTCTGTCACTGTATAACACTAGGGTACAGTACTGGTGGGGACAGGTCTGTCACTGCATAACACTGGGGTACAGTACCGGTGGGGATAGGTCTGTCGCTGTATAACACTGGGGTACAGTACTGGTGGGGACAGGTCTGTCTCTGTATTACACTGGGGTACAGTACTGGTGGGGACAGGTCTGTCACTGTATAGCACTGTGGTACAGTACTGGGTGGGGACAGGTCTGTCGCTGTATAATACTGGGGTACAGTACCGGTGGGGACATGTCTGTTGCTGTACAACACTGGGACACAGTACCGGTGGGGACAGGTCTGTCACTGTATAACACTGGGATACAGTACTGGTGGTGACAGGCCTGTCGCTGTACAACACTGGGGCACAGTACCGGTGGGGACAGGTCTGTCACTGTATAACACTGGGGTACAGTGATGGGGACAAGTCTGTTACTGTATAACACTGGGGTACAGTACCGGTGGGGACAGGTCTGTCTCT